CTTCATAAATCAACGGCGTAGAAAAGCGGGTCGATCGGGCCGTTAATTAAGGGGCCCTTCCATTGTTTGCCGAGGAGCCAACTCTATGGCCAGGCCATAATTAATAAACAAATAGTTACACAAATTGTGGCCTGCCATCCAGCCAGCCTGGGCACAAAAGAAAAATTGTGGCAATTTCGAGCGCGGCTGGCCGGGCACAGCTGGAGATGGACACCAACCGTTGGCGATGTGAGCATGGTGCTGGGGACGGCTCATCAGGTAATTTACATGGCCTTTCAATTCTCCGTTTTAGCCAGTGCCAGGCCAGTGCCAGTGCCAACTCTGTGGGCCAACACTCTCTTCCTTTTACTGGCAATGGCCAAACGGTGCGCATAATTGCCGCAAATCTCGACCATAGGAAAATCCAGCAGGCAAACCAGTTTGGGTTTGTTATTGCCATGGGATGGGATTGGATTGGATTGGCTCCGTTTGGTTTGGCTTGCTCCGCTGATGGGCTTCGGGATGGGGATGGGGATGGGAATGGAGCTGGGAGATTTGGATGGGGATGGGGACACAGATTGGGACTAGAGCACTACCTTTCTTTTTACTGCTGCTGCTGCTGCTGCTTGAGATGTTGCTTTTGCTGCTACTGCCGAGTCGCGAGCGACTGCTATTTATTTATTTAAACATAACATTTGCCTATTTGCCATAAATTTTCACTCTGCGCGACTTTTGCCAGCCACTCTGCACAGGAAGAGGTGGCAGATGCAGCGGCAGAATCAACTTGCTGCGGACAATATCGAAATGAAAGTTGTCTCGCAAACCGCCGCACTATTCTGCCCATCTATCTATCCATCTATCTATCTATTTCTATATATTTATATGTATATATCTATATCGGAAACTGGATTCATAGATCGCTGTTCGATTTGAAATTCGGCAAAAATGTATTGAGATTTTTCTCACGCTTGATTTACCACCGGATGATATTTTATAATGACAACTATATTTATGTTATTGTTAGTTTGTCTATTTGCCATCGTCGCCTGTTGTTCTTGTTATTGGGCCGCATTGTTTTTGTTGCTGTTCTGGGCAATCGAAAACCAGTTTCTCCTCAAATCGCGCGCACGCTCGAGTTTTATTTAAATTTTGAACTGGTTTGCCGCTGATTTGTGTTGTCTCCGCTGCGTATATATTATGTACCCACTAGATATATACATATATTAGATTGTTAGATTTCACAAACTGGGGCTGCGGTTGAGATATAAACATAATTTGTCTTGTTGGTTCGGTATCGACAAGTTCTGGAAATTGCCGGCCACCTCAGTCCCATCAGCCACCTCAGCCACCTCAACCCATTCCAGTTCATCTGTGTGTCATCAACATCATGATTATCATATATGCGATCCATGGAGCAGATCTCCCATCAAGAAGTCAGATCTCGGTGACTTCCGCACTACACTGACCCAAATTGACAGGCAAGGGATCTCATGTTTCTGTGCCGATTTCCAAACAACACAAATTTCAATTAGCAAAGCATTTTCCGGAGTTTTATTTCTGTTTGGGTTCTGTTTTCCTCACAGTTTCGAATCAATGGGGCAATATTAAATTGCTGCTTAGCTGGTCATTCAGCAAGAAGCTTTGCAAATTTGGCTTTGAGTAACCTGTCTTTGGGCGGAGTGGGCAATAAGTAATGTCCAAGATGACGGATGGTATTCTAGACAAGTTTGCGTAACTTTTTTGCCTAACTATTTATTTGCTGTACTTTGCCCTTTGAGTACGATATTTACCTTTATGTTATCAATTAAACCATTAAAAGCATTAGTTAGCAACATGCCAAGCAGGCCTGTATTATTTAATGCACACAACGAATTTCTAAGAAATGCGAGTATATATAACTATATTTATTGTTTGGCTCAAGGGAGTCATCATTAGAGGCAGAACATCAACTAAATTAGTTGGGGGATTTCCATTCGACTTCTGTAAGCTTGCCCACTCTGCTCATCCAGTTTTTGCTGCTCCTTACATTACTTTGCTCTGGTCTACGATGTTTGGATTTCGGTAATTTGTTGCCATTGTTTTGGGCCAACCGGCCGGAGTGGAGTCTTCTGCCCCAAAGTCTGTTGGATCCCCCGTTTGTTGTCATTGTTTTCTGCTTTTTTTTTTCCATTTTGTTTGCAGTGCCTTAGTTTTTTGTTTCGTTTTTGCCATGATTGCCATTCGATTGACCTCGTTGCGCATGCGTGCGCTTGTTTCACGCTACACTACAAATTTTCGCGCACAACAAGCGGCTGGGATGATGAGTAAGCGCCAAAGCCAAGCCAGAGCCAAAAGCACAGCCTAAGCCGGAGTCGGAGCCAGAGCCTAGGAGCACTCAATCCATTACTCAGCCAGTCAATGGTATTAGCTGATTTCTGTACGCTACATTTTGCGATTTTTCGTTGTTTCTATTTTCGTTGCCCCCACTGGTGGTTTAACAGCTGAAAATTGCACATTTTGTGACTTGGATTAGCAAACGAGCGACGGGCGATGGTGAAAGATGGAGAAAAGGAAACCCATAAGCGGAGAAACATCGATGGATCGACCGATCGACCGATCGATCGATTGGTTGGCGGATGGAGGTTGGTGTGTGGTGGATGGTGGATGGTGGATGGCGCGAGATCAACAGCTGAGCTTGTGCAAGTCGGTTCGGGGCAGGCCAACTCGGGCCATATGATCAGCAGCCATGTGCAAGAGTCGACTCCTCCTGTCCAGCTCAGCTCAGCTCTGCTCCAATCCACTCCACTCCACTCCACTTCACTGTACTCCACTTTGCTCTGCCTCATTCGCCGCGTCGATGTTGCCGCTTTTGTTGCTGCTGCTGGCGTTGTTGCAGTAGCAATATTCATGGGGCAACAACAGTAGTGGTTGTACTACAAATCGGGCGTAAAATTTCATGGGCCTGCTATTGAATTAGAAACGAGTTTCTGTTGCTATTGGTTTCTGCTTTCTGACGCGCTGCTGCTGCTGCTGCTGCTGCTTCTGTGCCGTTTTCTTGCCGCCAAGTTGCAGTTGCAGTTGCAGCAATGGTAACTGCTGTTGCTGCTGCTGCTGCTGCTGTTTGGACGGGCTGATAGGCCGAGGGACGGACGGGCCGTGGCCTGAACTAAGCCAAACGGAGTCGAGCCAAGCCCAAAGCAGCCGCAAACATGTAGTACCGTCGACCCATTGTGTGCCTCCAATAACAAACGCAAACAGCGCGGCGAACATCTTGGCTATGTGATGAGCTTTGTCCTGCAGCTATTTGCATTGATTTCCGCCGGCAACTGCAGTTCTCAGTTGGGCAAATTTGGCGTAATTGAAGTTGATTGATTGTAGGTCACTGTCATGTTTTAGTACCTTTCTCAGCATAAAAGGCAAATTAAAATGTGGCAGACTTATCGTTAGCTCTTATCAAGTACGTCGTCTCATTCATTATGATTTTCAGCAAAAGTATATAGTTTTTCCTCGTATATTATTATTTTTGTATTATTCATTGTAGTCTTGTTATATAAACATTCATTTACACATTCCTGACTTTAAGTAATACGTGCTTTAAGTACCCGAAATCGCTTGCTCCGCAATTCAAACTATTTCCTTTGGATTCCTAAATCATTATAAAATAGTTTTTATCGGGACTGTGTATGTTTTTGGGTGCCACATAAATTTTTTGTTAATCATTCTTTAAACATTTTTTTTAAGAATAAGCGGAAGTGATTATCCCTAAAATATAAGCTGTTCGGTATAAAATGTTTGGGGCTTAAAAAAATATATTTTTTTAGCGCGGTAATCAGTTTTACAGTCCTTATTTGGACACAGTTAAAGCATTTTTTCTATGTTTTTTTAAACCTTTAATTTAAAATTGCCTTGTGGGCAATTAACGCAGTAATCAGTTTTACAGTCCTTATTTGGACACAGTTAAAGCAATTTTTCTATGTTCTTTTAAACCTTTAATTTTAAATTGCCTTTGGGCACAAATTAAACGTACTTTGTGCCATTTTGTGGAATAGTTTGTTTTTAGATTTCTAGAAAAGATCTATCCCCTGGGGCATTTTATTCATACTTGTATTGAAAGAATTGAGCTATGATCCTTTTTTGAAACGGGAGAACAATTATTTTGGCTAATAGTAGGGATTCTGGGTATTCTATTGTCGGTGTGGCTCGGGCAAACCCTCATTTTTCTGGTTGGTTGTCATTTTTGCAAGTCCGCTTGCAAGCGGTGGAACGTAGGTAGTTTTGCACGCAGATACAAACGTTGCTGGATTTACGCTGGTTTGCGGCAAAACTCTGGGTAAACATTATAATGAGCCCAATGCAGTGACCGGGCCCAAAACAAAAGAGCGTTGCAGACAACATGAAAGAACGCCCACACCATGTGCTGCTTGGACCCGACCCGACTGGCCCTACCCAAAATCGCAGTTCACAGCCCAGGCACAGCAGACTCCGGCAAGAGTTCGCGCGGACTGTGGCCAATTCCCAATTGCTGCCATTTCGTTACCCTTTTGCCCAATTTGCCAAGCATCAATGGGGCAACGGAGCAACGGGGCGTGGCGGCCACATCCTACGGACGGATGTACTCGTACAGACTGGACCCCTTTCCCTGCCTGTCTTTATTGTATACTGTTGTACTTTTTCAATTACCAAATCACCGAAAGCAAGCAGAGATCCGAAATCCGTTGAGAACTCCAGCGCAGGAGAGGGCCAACCCAGTCCGGCCAGGCCAACCAGAGTCGAAACGGAAATTGGTAAGAGGAGAAATAAACGAAAAACAACAAGGGACGACAAGGGACGACAACTGGCGCAAGTGCAAATGGCTCTGAAAGAGAAGAAACAAAAAGAAAAAGCCCCCAACTCTACAGATCCGTTCCCCACCCCCCGTTTCTTCAGAGGCCCCAAGACCCGTGGAGACTTTGCAGCCCAGCGAGCGAGCAAAAGACGAAGAAAAGACTCGGCCGCGGCTTCGGAGCTTCGAAAGCCCCCATAATCATAATAGCACAGCAAGCCCCAGTCGCAATCTTCAAGTCGCCGTTCGCCGACGATCAGTTTGAGTTTGGCCGTGGAAGCCGCCAGTTCGGTGTCGCGTTGCTCAGTTGCTCGGTTGTTCGGTTCCTCAGTTGCACAGTTGCCAAGTTCCTAATGCTATATAGCTGCTATAGCTACTGATACCTGGCTATTCGTACCACGATTTGTGGCGTGGAACGTGCGTCCAGATCGGTTCGTGAGTGCCGCCCCGTTCCGTTTGGTTCCGTTCCGTTCGTCGGTCTCTGAAAGCGAAAACTGGCGCTCAAGTTCAGTCAGCGATTTGTCGATTTCTATGCAAATCATTACTCGGAAAAGAAACACATATAACCCAGAGACAGAGTTGGAGACAGAGCCGCCATAACAACAAAAGACGGCAAAAGCCAGAAAAAAGAGCGTGCTATTTTTATTTTGCTAAATGTCGACTCGAGGCTCACGTCGCCGGAGCAGAGCCAAAGTCTCCGTTTCAACTGGCGGGAGACTGTAACCCGAGTCGCGGTTCGCGCAAAACAGAAAAATATATAAAAAAACAAAATCGCAGAAGAAAAAAACCAAGAGACAAACAGAAACAGATTGTATCTGTATCTATAGTCGCGACTTGCGGCTCGTTTTGTGTGCGCACATTCGTGTATCTGTATCTGCCGCCGAGCGCAAAAAGTAATCATAAACTGGAAGGGAAAGAAAAACAAATAAATAATAAAGGAAAAAGAAAAAGAAAAAGAAAGAGTGCCGCTTCTCAGCATCCGCGGAGCACTTCAACTGATACCGATTGATAGATACCGCCCCCGACTTGTGATTTGTGAATCAGCTGAGTCGGCTTTTCGGCTGCGGCTGCCTTGTGAGAGGATCGATCCCCCCAGAGATTGGGATCGAGCAGAAGGAAGTGGATCAACTAATTGAGCATACATCAAGTTCACGTAGAATGGCCCTCCGCTTGGATTATCGTTGCCTACTGGATGCCTTCGAGGACTACTACTACCACAATTACTACCACAAGGAAATCCAGCGCTTGGTCGCCGAAACCGCTGGAGCCACAGCAGCATCTCCCGCTTCATCCGCCTCCTCGACGGCCTCCACCTCATCCGCATCCGCATCCTGCTCGAGTGGACCCTCCACTTCCGCCAGTTCGCCCGGTTCGTTGGCCCAGGTGGCTGCTGCCCGAGCGGCCGCTGCCCTGGCGGACCAACAAGCGCTGGCCAGCAGCCAGAGGGCCATGTTCTACAACGTCCAGCATCCTCAGCAGCTGGAGCAGCTGCATGCGTTGCAGGCGGAGTCCGGCAATCAGCAGCAGCATCCGCAGGCGAGCGCCGATCCCAACGCCTCCTCCATGGCCAACAGCCTGCTCTGGCAGCCCTGGCGAGATCTCCAGCAGGCGGCCGCCATGCATCACCAGCTCTACAGGCAGCAGCAGCAGCAGCAGTTGCAGTTGCACTCAGGTTCGTTCCTCAGGGCGACTTCAAAGAAATCGACCAGCGAAAATCCCCCGACTGACTGACCTCTGACTGAAAGGTTGAATCTGTCACAAACTGGTGATCTTGAAACTTGCTTACATAAGGCCACAATGGCAGGTGACAGTTTGTTTCTATTCTTTCGTTGCCTCCGCGTTTCGGATTCGCAGTTTCTATAATTTCCCTTATCATAACGCCTAATTTGTTCCACTGTGCATGTTGTTCTTCTAGAAAGTGGTGTCTTGAAGTTCAGGGCACTATAATATTATAGTCACACTGTCGGCAAATGGTACGCTTCAGTTTTGAGTAAATAATTATCAGAATTATGGGTAACAAATGCTTACCAATAACTTTGCACTTAAATGCAGTTGTACTTCACGACTACAAGTTGAATAAGGTAACACCTTTTCAAAGTCTTATCAGTTTTGGAATACATGTCAGTTTGAACTTCGTTAATGAGAACATTAAGAAATATCTGAAGATGTTTTATTACAGCCTTAAATATTTTAATAAGTACAAGCATATAAAAGCGGCAAAGTTCTTAGCATATTACCAAAAGTTTCCATTGACAGGCAGTTATTCTCGCCGGTTTTCTAGAAATCTTATTACAACAAACTCTTTGATGATAGCTTTTAAGCCAAACAAATAAGTTGTCGATGCAGAGAGAACATGGTTTCCAAATCTGTTTGCAGACCAGAGTTTTAAAATGTTACAAAAAGTTACTTGTAAAAACTTCTTGAGATGACTCATTGAACTAAACACGTTTGGTTCTAGGCTACAATATAATGGGCCTGGAATTGTCTTAGTAGAGCCGCGAAGACCACGTTGTTGCACCTGCTGCTCACGTGGAGGCTACACTCATTCGCCTGATCGGTGCTGAAGTTCAATGGATCGGCGAACGTGCCTTTCCTTTGGCCACTGGGCCACGATAAGCACTCGCCCACTGCGCTGATGAATGGGATATCGGAAGCGATTCGCTAAGCCTGGGCTTATCAGTCAGTGGGCGGCGTGCGGCCAGGACGTGGACGTGAACGTGATGACGATGACGATGGGATTGGGGCTCAGACTGAGATTGGCAACGGCAGCGAACGCAATCGGTCACGCCGGCTGCAAGAGCGTATCGATGGCGTCTCCACTCGGCTTGTGCCAACTGGAAAATTGGTAATGAAATTGGCAACACTTTTACTGCGCTCCCCCGTCGCCATCGATTGGCTTCGGGCTCGAATTGGCAAACAAGCAGACAAACACACTCGCACTCCAGTTCCAACGCGTTAATTGGCGACATTGCACAAATCACACAAATGCTTTCAATTACATGGCGTCGCCAGGCAAACACAGCAATCACTGAAAAAAAAGAGCAGCCAGAGAAGAGCAGAAAATGAGCGCCTGTTTAAACATTAAACCTCCATAAAAAATACTGCCCGACGATGAGCTGGAACTGGGGGGCAGTGGAGCTTCTGTGCTTGGCTCGACCGACTCGGTGTTGCTTTGCTTTTGTTAATTTGTTGACATATTAAAACCAGATTTGCAATCAACTCGGCCAGCGGGTAATGCGGGCATAGCGGAAGGTCTGGCAGGGATCGGGGGCTTGGGGATGGGGATGGGGATCCGTGGTTACGGGCATGACTCACGAGCCGGCGCGAGAAAAAAATAAACGTAAAATATACAAATAATGAAAAACGCCTGCGACGGCGATGGCGATGGCGATGGCGGTGGCGGTGGCGGCGACGATGATGGAAAAATAAATATGTACACAAAGCGAAAAAGCTACAACAACCAGAGCAGCAACAACTTGTTTGCATAAGCCACAAAACGCTGTTCCCATTGCTATTGCTTTTGCTATTGCTATTGGTATTGCTATTGCTATTGGTGTTGCTCTGCTGCCATTTGTAGTACAATCTTACGGTGTGTACAGGCCATATAAGCATGCAAGTCTGCTTGAGTTTTGTCACTCTCGCGCCGTCCCTGTCTTTCCGCCTCTGCCCCTCTCTTCCGCGAGTTCCCCCGGGTCGGAACCAGATTTTGGGATCTCACTGGGCCGGCTTTCAAATCGCCAGCCAGCTGATATATCACCTCGGCGATGAAGAAGTTGAGATTGGCCCACCGTTGCCGGAAATTGTGAAATGTCTCGCCTGAAATAATGGTTCGATTTTTTTTTGTATAATAATAATGTGCCTGATTGTTATGGGCAAACTTTATAAAATACTTTGGCTTTGTTAACGTCTACCATTACTAATTGAAGTGTCTACTATTTGCACAAAATCACTGCCTTTATTGCCGAAACGGTCAGCATTTTACTTTCCACGCAATTGCTTTCCACAAATCATATCATAGTGAAGAATCATCATATCGTATATATACTTATACGAATTATAGGCATGGGGCAATGCTAGGATAACAGATGAAGATAACCTGATGACAAAGCCTTAAACAGAAGCATATACGTTGGTTTCTTAATTATTCAGCTTTGCGGTTGTTCTTTATAGCCTATTCAAGTTGTTCTTGATTGCCTCAATTCGTTTTACAAATGCCGAAACCAGGTTTCTACCTCTAAATCGTGTGATTTTCGTCTCCGCAGTACAAGGGATCTTATCTACAGATATCCCACGAATGTCCCTCGCTTATATCATCGCTATAACCCCGTTTCGAGCTCCCTTTGCGAACTCCCCCAATTCGGAATCAGATTGCCATTCAATCGACTTCCCCTTCATCGCCAATTAGCCGATACAGAAATGATTAAAACGCTGGCAGCAGAACAAATAAACAATGCCAAGAGGATGCTGAAAATGCGGTGGCGGCGAAGGTGAGATAGGGAGCAACAGACCACAATCCGCAAAAGAGGGGGAGCCCCAAAAAGAAAGCTTCATGTTCCATGCTCCATGCTCCATCGTTGTCGTTGTCGTCTTCGTTGTTGTTGCCGTCGTCGTTGTCGTTGTCGTTGTTTTTGCTGTCGAACCGCCGATCCCCCAACAGACGGCGACGTCCGACGACCGGAAATGTGCAATAAAATTTGAATGTTTCTTTATTATTATCATCATCCCCATCATCATCCGCTTGAGCCCAAGCCCAAGCCCAAGTTCGCTCCCAGCCTCCGTGTTTGTTGGTTTTTAATGCCTCTTGGCCTGCAACTCCAACTCTACTGCCTCTGCCTCCCCCTCCGCCTGCTTGTCATCCTCTGCGCCCAGTGCTCCACTCGGAGCAGACCAGTTTCTTGGCTCCTCTTACTGATGCTCCTCTGCCTCTTCGGTTTGGTTGGACTCGCAGAAGAAGTAATATATGGCAGTCCCGCAGTGACGTTGCCAAAAACAGGACAACGCTCCCGCCTGCTCCTCCAGCCCCTCCAGCTCCTCCGCCAACGCCAACCGCCTCCATCCCAGCCATCCAGCCAGCCAGCCATTCATTCATTCATTCATGCCTGGGTTCCTGGGACTGCAGCTTCTCCTCCTCCCATCGGGCTGCTCTCTGCGCTGCTCGAAATGTGCAGAAGTCGCCCGACTGGTTTGCCTGCCCCTTCGATATCGGCCGAGAAACTGGGTTCTGGGACCTGGCTTCCCGCTGCCAGCCTTTTGCTTTATTTATAAACTTGGTTTCCTGGCAAGCTGCAGCAGCTACACTGAGCGCCTGGAGCGGATGGATCTTTCATCCCGACGGGATGCCCACGCTCAGGGTTGGCCGCTTCCCACGCCGGCAGCTCGGTCAACCGCCCATTGGCAGGCCAGGCACGTTCCTGCGTTTCGCTCAGTGTAGGCCAGGCCCAGACTTTTATGCGCACATACACAAACACACGGGCGAACTCGAAAAAGAGCGTAGAGCAAACGAGTTTTCGTAACCAATTTTGTTTGTGCCTTGGAGTTTCGATTGTATGCTTTCTGTTGTTATTATTTATTTGCTCGAGTGTGTGTGCCGTTTTTTATTTTTATTCATTTTTTCTTTTGCTGATGACGGCTACGTCTTCTTGTGCATAATTTCTGTGCTGCCTTAAACTCTTCCTGCTGCCCGCCGCTGTGTGCCGCTTCTTTGCGGCGACTTTGCAGCTTTTGGCAGAGGTTCATTCAAAAAAACGAAAGACTTAGGCAACAAACTTGCAGGAGGGAGCGGGCGGAGGGCAGAGAATTGGATATATAGAGGCAGGCAGGCGATCGGGTGAAGGAGAACCTTTGCAGAGGCAGCCTCGCCTCGATTCCATCTGATTCATTACGCCCACTCATCGACCGCATAATCGAAGCCAAGACGACGGACACGTAAACCGCACCGAGCATTGGTGAATCGCTAGCCAGACAAAACCCAAATCAACCGCAAAGCCACAGCAAATTTATGGGTTTTAATTGAAATTCGATTTTTGTTTATTATATGGACATGGACTATTACTATTCAGAGGGCTAGCCAAAAAGATGGCCACAAACAGATAACTCGTTTTCCTGAAAACCGTTTTTGACGCTTGTCGTTTCGTTTTTTCTCCTTGCAGAGATGCGTGCGACGTCCAAGGTGCTGACCACCACCAAGTGGCGACGCGAGCGGCGTCAGCGGAGTGCCGGATACCAGCCGCACGAGGCAGGCAACGGCGACAGGGAGCGGGAGAGGGAGCGGGAGCGGGATCGGGATCGGGATCGAGAGGATCGCGACATGGACGGTGACAGTCCCATTGACATGTCGGTGGCAACGGGAGCGCTCAAGCAGAGAGCCTCACCACCGCCTCCCTATCGCGAACCCTTGCCTGGAACCAACTACGCGGCCAACAGCCGACCCAGCGTCATCACCCAGGCTCCACCCAAGCGAGAACCACCGGAGCAGGCCCACTCTACAGGTGAGAGGTCATATGCACATTAGTTCAAAGAGTATACTAACCTGCTTTGGTTTGCCTTGCAGATATGGCGATGTGCGACATTGACGAGCACTTCCGACGCTCACTGGGCGAGAACTATGCTGCCCTGTTCGCCAAGAAGTCGCCAACGCCCACGCCAACACCTACGCCCTCGCCAAGTGGTACACCCAAGCAGCAGGTTTCGCCGCTGGCCTACGGACCGCCTTCATCAACCAGCACAGTGGCATCGCTACACTACCAGCAGCATCGCTCGCCGCTGGCCAAGCCGGCATTGGTCATTCTGGAGCCAGAAACGCTGCAGCCGGAACTGCCGCCGCCGCAGGAGGAACCGCTTCCCCTGTCGCTAGCACTGCATCGCACCCAAACGCCGCCATCGCCGCCACCCTCGGCCACGGGATCGGCACCGGCGCTACCCACGGCCGTCAGCCAGGTGATGGAGGCAGCTGTGGCGGCCAGGCGAATCCTGGACACGCCCCACCACACGCCGCCGAGATACAACACGCCACCGCCGCCGCCGCCGGCTTATGGGATAGCCGGAACCACCGTTGTGGCGCCGACATTGACACCGACACCGACTCCAACTCCGAATCCGAATCAGACGCCGTCGCAGATTCCCACGCCCACGCCCAGCATGCCGGCCATCATTCGGGTGAAGGCTGAGCCAGGACTGGCGGCCGTGGCTGCCTCCTCGACGCAGACGCCGCCCGCTTCGCCCACCTCGTCCACGAATATCTCGATATTCACCAAGACTGAAGCCTCGGTGGACGACCACTTTGCCAAGGCGCTTGGCGAAACCTGGAAAAAGCTGCAGGGCGGGCACAAGGAGTAGAGGAGGAGCCAGCAGCGAGCAAACCACCAACCCACCCGCACATGACCCGGTCCCGATCCCGACCCCGATCCTAATTCCCAACACCACCCAACACAACGCAACCCAAAAGCAACCCCTGATCCTCAACGATCCAACTCAAGAGCTGTTTTTATTATAAATATTTCAAACTACACAATTAACGTTTAAAGATCTCATGCTGATGTGAACGGAAATTCTTCAACTGCGAGTGTATTACAAGTTTCTGATATAATGATTTTATTGAATATTGATAACGGTTAGCGCGCGGATATCTATGATAATATACATATACATATATATATGGATAAATGTGTATGACAAAGTGTATACGTACAAGTGACAAAATTTTGTATTCTTAACGCTTAGTTGGTAGAGACTAATCCTTAATAATATACCTATTAAACATAAGTGAACAATCCTACAAATTCTGTATTTTCATTCAACAAAAGTGCGCAACTTTGGCGCAAAAATGCAGATTTTGAATATTCAAATGACTGTTAGGCGGCTAGCAGAGCGATAACAGCACGCGCCTAACAGCACACTGTGCGCGGCGGCCAGTGTGCCCACACCACTGACAGCGCACGGAACGGCGACAATGCCATTCACGGCGAACGATAACGATTGTTGGCATTCGCACGGCACGAATCGTACAGTACATTTACATTGCAAAAAAAAGCATAAAACAAAGTTTTAAAACAATTAAAAGCGAGCAATCCTCGGCGTATTATTAAAGAACCAGCCCACTGTTCGCCCCATAACCGCAGCAGAGCGCGCGACCTTGCTAATTCACGGAGCAGCAGCGCCAGAAAGAGAGTTCGTCGGCAGAGGGGCGCAGAGAGAAAATGTCACGCAAAGCAGCAGCAGCAGTGGAAGTGGAAAAAGAGTGAAGAAACCGCAGTAATCGCCATCGGGATCCGATCTCAGTGTCCTCCAGTGCAGCGCGTCGCCACACAGACGGGCCAAGGAGCACCCGAAAACGATCCTGATGCGGCACAGCCGAGTGCTCACTGTGGCGAAACTAACCGATGGACAGCAGCAGCAGCAGAAGCAGAAGCAGCAGCAGCAGCCAGCGAAAGTAGGAGACAACAACGGAGCCCTGCGTCTGCGGTCCTAGAAATTCGTAACTCGATATTCACTGGCAACACGGACACCTGCTAGCGCAATGCGAATGCCGCCGATCCTGGCCAGGATTGTTCGTAGACTGGTGCTTGGATGTCGTCGGTAATTGGGTGCGCCATCCTCCGTTGGGTCTCCCCTAGCAATCCGCTGGCACCACCATGCAAAGCCTGGACTCCTCATGCCAAGAAGCCGACGTAAGCACTGGAATTTTCCATTTAGCCTGAAACCGATTAATTCTCATTCTCATTTTGCACTTTTTTTTTTTGTTTTTTTTGTCTTTCGCCAGTTTATTATAAATGACACGCTCAAAAAGTTAAAGGGTTCCAGCAACGCGGACCATGTCCAGGGCCTAGCGGTCCACGCCCACGGATCGGGCGTCCATCAGACGCAGTTCGTCCAGTACGGCACGTCTGGATCCTCGCCGCAGCTGCAGCCGCAGCAATCCTACCACCAGCTGCATCCCACGCTCCAGCAGCAGCAGTTCGCCTCCTCGAGCAGCAAATCGTACCTGGAGACCAGCCTATTGCAGGCTATACCACAGATTCCTGCCCAGCCGCCCATTTGCATCTTCGATGACGACGAGTCCCCCACCGAGGGCACTGGCGGCTCACTGGGCAGCCTGCTCACGGAGCCGACCTCGGCCACGCCCAGCGGCCTGCCCACTGCAATCGCTCCGTCGCCCTCCTCGTGCTCATCCTCCACCACAACGCTGTCGAACTTCAACTCAATCACATCGCCGTCTCCGGTGGTTCCCGATCTGCTGCTGTCGACGCCGCCGGGCGTTAACTCCAGTCTGAGCAATAGCTCAACGGGAGCGGTCAGTGTGTCCAGTAAGAAGTCCGAGAAGCGGCCACCCTCCGCCAACTCACAAGCCAGTGGCGGCGGCCACCACCTGCACCATCATCACCTCCACCAGACGCACAATCACCATGTCCTGGCATCGCCCACGTCGTCGCCCAGCAAGCGCCAGAAGTCCAATAGCAGTAGCAAGGAGAGCAGCTCCTCTAGTCGCAGCTCAGCTATACCCGCCGCATCAGTCTCCACGGCCACCTCGTCGTCGCAATCAGCGCGCGCTGGCGCCGGCGCTGCCTCCTTAAATAGCAACAGCAAGCCACCTTCCTCCGTCTGTCAGTCGGGCAACAGCAAGTTCTTTAATCTACACGAGAAGATAAGGGATCTGTACCTACAACTGCTGAGCAACGATCTAAACTACTTTGTCGAGACAGGGGTAAGTATTGAGCCAATCAAAGCCAGACACTTTTGTAAGGATTGCTTTACTCGCCAGCTAAAGCAGCGCACCCGATCCTTCACACTGGAGCGGTTGGTGGATCGGGAGAAGCTCAACACGATTGTGGTCAACTTGTATCCCGGCAACAAGGGATACTCTCTGGCCCTGCATTATGACGAGCACATGGTGCTAAATCCGCAAACGAACGAATGGTCCACCACGGACAAGGACGAGGCCTCGAACGACGCTGCGGGGTTGGGTACGGGAACGAGCAGTCATCGGAGTCGCCCCAAGCCGCCAGCCCAGGACGAAAGTCAAGCCAAGGCGGAGGCGGGTCAGGCCAAACACGATTTTGGACTCGTGGAGGTGCTTCGGTGGCCCTACGAGAACGATTTGTTGCTGCAATGCATCGATCGTGAAATGCTGCCGGAGTTTTTAATGGATCTGCTCGGAGCGGAGACCGTCAGTTTGTCGGATGGCGAGGGAACGCGGGTGTACGCCAAGCCAAGCGTCTTCTATGCCGGCTGCGTTATCGCCCAGATCCGCGACTTCCGCCAGACATTTGCCACCTCAACGAATATCTGTGATATGAAGCACATCCTGCTCAGGCCCACGAACGCCACCCTATTCGCGGAAGTGCAGCAAATGGGCAGCCAGTTGCCGGCGGAAGACAAGCTCGCCCTGGAGAGCCAGCTGGTGTTGGCCACGGCGGAGCCGCTGTGTCTGGAGCCGGATCCCAGCATAGGGAGGCAGGCCATCAACGCCCAGCATCAGCGGCAGCTATTCAATTCCCACGAGCTGCGACGCCAGATGAAGAAGTTCACCCAAACGGCCATCAACCGGAAGCGCAAGCTGGATCAATTCACACACCATCACGGACTGGAATTGTGCGATTACCTGGCTCGCCTGCGCCAGCGACCGCGGACGGGAAGCAGCAGTGGTGGCGGCAATGCCACACCGGCCACGGCGCCCACCAACAATCCGCTGGTGGGGGCCATGCTGTCGTCGTTCACATCGAAGGTACCCCGGCGACCGCACGAGGTCATACGGCCCATTCGTCCGCCCACACTGGAGTATCCCGCCAATCTCAAGGTGCCCGAGCACGTGATCAGCGTGGAAAAGTATGCCAAGGCCTTCGAGCCACTTAACGAATTCAGTGAGGCCTGCAAGGACGGCTGCCAGCCCAACTGTCGTCACAACTTCCAACCGCAACTGGTCGAGGAATACATTCTGGAGACGGAGCGTGAGGCGAGTGAAGGCCGGCGGGCTCTATACCATATAAAGCTGTCCATCTTCCAGCGCCCCTCCGATGCAGAGTATCTCGGCGAGCTGTATGTGGACCGAGATTACCGGGAAGGCGAGCGAAACGGCGAGTCGTGCCGCTTTGCGCTGGGCACTCGGGTGCATGCCAATCGATACATTCAGCAGTTCCGCGAGATCTTCACCGAGGAGGGGCGTAAGGCGGTCAAAATCACGCATTTGATACCCGGGCATGTGCCGATTGTGACTCACACGGGATTGACGAACGAGCAGCGGATCCTCTTGCAGCAACAGCAGCAACAACAGCAGCAGCAGCAGCGTCAAGCTCAAATGCAACAGCAACAACAGCAGCATCAGCAAGTCGTTGTTGTCGCCAATCCGCAACAGCAGCCGCAACAACAACAGCAGCCACAACAAGTGACACAGCAGTTATCCGCCACAGTGCATCATGTGGCACTGCCGCGCCAACAAATAACTCAAAAGACTCTCAACTTGGCTGGAAGTAATGTAATCAATGTACAGCAAAACTTTCGGCCGCAATCAACGCAGCAGCAGCAGCAAACATACACAATTGAGGCACCGCAGCAGCAAGCTGCAGCGCAGATTATCCCGCAACAACAACAACAGCAGCAGCAGCAGCAACACATTCATCTTCAGCAGTTGGCCACCGGCAGCAGTAATTCCTCCACGACAACTCACCAAGTTAGCCTCAGCAATGGTTCCCTGGTCCTTGTGCAACAGCAGCAGCCCCAGCAGCAGTCGCAACAGCTGGCCCAGGCCCTGCAGCATTCGGGCATAACCATCCAGCCAGCCACCATTCAGCAGCAGCAGGTGAAGGGCTCTTCCGTGGTGGGGGCCAATTCTGCATTGCGTGCCCAGCTGAACTCAAATGTGCCAATTCTGGTTAGTAGGACGTGGTCAATTAGGCATTTCAAGTTTATCAATAATTTGTACTCTCCTATTCCGCAGCAGACGCAGCTGAAAGTGCAGCAGCAGCAGATTATGCAGAAGCAACAGCAACAACAGACAACTGCCACTAGCAACAACAACAACAATAATAATAACAATAACAATATGAACAACAATACGGCCATACACCCGAATCCAGCAATAAACGCCATAGTCAACAGCATTATGAACTCTGCCAACCAGTACCAGCAGCAACAGCAGCAGCAGCAACAACAGCAGCAGCACCAGCATCAGCAGCAATGTAAGTTCGGTGGAGTTCTGCACCTGGAATGCTAAGTAATGCTAAATAACAATTCAAAATTGTCTTGCAGCGGGGAACACGTCAAGCAACAACAATGCTGCAGGGTCCGTCGGCAGCACCAACAACAACGGAAGCAGCACCAGTGCCACAACACTGAAGAACTCCAGCAACGCATCGATCTTGAACCTGCTCAACAGTGCTCCAGCTGCGATGACCAGCACACCCGTGGCCAGCGGAACGTTCACAACCTCCACCGGCCAGCAGCAACCGCAGACGCTGACGCTTGTGCAGCACCAGCAACAGTCGACTCCGAACACCGCGGATGCGGCCACTGCTACCTATGTGCAGACCACCCGCGGAACACCCACGCTGGTGAGTACGCAGCGGAAACAGCAGTCCAGCGAGGTGTTGCAAAATCTGTTGAACGCCAATCGAAAGATTGGTGGTGGAGGCACCACAACGACAACGTTTCGAACAAACTCCGCGGGCAATTTGATAGCGGTCAACCTCAACCAAGCCGGGCAGTCGCACCACCAACAGGCAGGCGACGGCAGCCAGACAGTGAGAGTGTCCATGTCGGCACTCGCCTCACAGTTGGCCTCGC